CAAGCACTGACTGATGAAGGGACTATCTTTTGCATTGTAGGACACTTAACAGTACTCCTGATCTCTATGTAGTAGATGCAGTTGACTCGGTCTCCTTTGCCCTGGTCAGCAGCAGTCCAGAGCAGGGTCACACAGCCGACACCTTCATAGCGCTCCTGCACTCGGGTATAAATATCTTCCTCCTCATCATCAGAGAGGACAACACTGAAATTAATGCACTGAACTAGAAAATGAGGACAAGAGAAATGCATCAGGTTCAGAGCAAATACAAAGGCTTTCTTCACAACCAGCTGCTCTAATGTTTCAGTACAACACGATCCTTCCCCAGCCTGCCCACCTTCTTTCTCCTGAAACCCACGTCACTGCACAGCACTTAACAAAGCAGGCCTTTTACAGAGAAAATGACCTTAAATCAAAAAGAATAGAAACAAGATACTTGGCATTAATGGTAATAATAACCAGACTCCTGTGAAAGCCTAAAATATTGCTCCTTTAGTCACTGATTATTATGGAATTCCTACTTTTCAAACTCAATATCAAGCTCTTCTAGAACTTTTTGTCAGGGGTTTTCTGCTGCTGCCAAGTAAGCCGGGGAAAAGAGAGAGGAGTTGTTTTGTCTAACACATTTCTTATATCATTAAGAAAATGAAGGTTTAGGTGGTCTGCCTGATTTTGTCTTTTTTCCTTTTTCTTTAAGGATATGGAGGTATCACAAATGCTATACTCATCTCTGTCAGGGAGTCTTGGAAGGATGACTTGTTTGGACCCTTCCTATTTTTGCTGTAGAACATCTCTGATTTCCTTTGCCTTCCACCTAAGGACATGCAAAGGAGGACACAATTCTACTAAGAATTCATAGTGCCAGAAAGGTTGTCCCCAAAGCAAACTGTGCACCAGCCTTTTTCACGGTACCTACTGTGTTCTAATTTCTTGTACCTCTGACCTGCTGTTGCCCAAGATGTCTTGTAAAGAGGCTGTGTTCTGCCTGTTGTCCACCCCCTCAGGAAAACCATGCTTGTATCCAAACCAAACCAAACCTTGTCTCTTAGCCTGCAGATTATTCAAGGCTTACTGGGGGTCTGGGAAGGAGCTTTTTGGTGTCAAGCTGGCATCTCCTCTAACAAATGATTACTTCCATTTCATGTCACAAAAGAAGGCAGAACAGTCGATGACTTAGTATTAGAGCAGAATTTTTGTCTTAGCTATTTTCCTCAAGGTTGAGACAATACCTGACACACACAGGGCACAAACTTTGTTTCTTTTGTACCCTTTATTTCAAGACAAAGTTTCACCTTGTAGTTCAGATCAGCCTTGAACTTAGCGTATACATAGCCCAGACTGTCCCTGAATTTCCTGCCTTTGCCTCTCAGAGTGCTGGATTATAGGTGTATACCACCTTGCCTGGTTTTAGAGGCAAACTTTGCCTCTTTGTTCCAAAGACTGTGGAATGTCACTCTGTGGTCAAAGCAGAGGTTAGCAAAGTGTAACCTGTGAGCCAAGTCTGGCCACTGACCTGTTTCTATAAATACACTTTATTGGATCATCTATCCATTCATTTTTGTATCATCTACGGCTGATTTTGCTCTGTCATACCAGTGTCAAGGACTTGCAGCAGAGACTACATGGTGTGTGAAGCCTGATGCACTCTTGGACCTTTAGAAGAAGTTTGCTGATTCCTAACAGAATGGAAAGGACAAGTCCTGGATCTGCAGCTTTGGGTCCATACTCGCTTCTCCAATCTGTCTTTTTTCATCTGTGAAATAGGGGACTCCATTGCCTGGGCCAGATAAGAGCTTAATTCATTGAGGAATTATGACCCTGAATGGGTGTGAAAATGCACATCCAACTGTAAAGAGTTCTAAAAAGGCTAATTATTATTGAAGACTTTTGGGGTACGTATTTAGTGAAAGAGAAATGACAAAAAGATTATTTTTTCTTCAATAGCAATCGAGTGGCAGTAAATAAATGACTGTCAAAGGGTTCAGCTACCTTTGTACTAGTGTCAGCTAATGGCTGGTTTCAAGCTAAGCTAAACAGTGTTATTAAAATTAAAGGGAAGAATCACCACAGTCATCCCGAGAAAGGGCCAGAGTGTGGGTGCCAAGCTTTTGCTGCGGCAGCAGAGGAGATGCAGGCACAGGTCTGAGGGAAGGAAAAGGAGGGAAGGCAGGTCCAGGAAGTACTGCATGGGGCATATTTATAGAAACAATTATTCATTGCTTTATCTCAAATTCAGATCTAGCTGGACAGCTTGTATTTTTCATTTGCGAAGTCTAGCAACCTCCCCCCAGCCCTGACTGGTTCTGTACAGTGCTCAGTCACGGGGCTGGCCCTAGTCACAGAGTTGGTCCAGATTCTAAGGCCTCCCATGGATGCTCATGCAGAGATCCATGAGGACATAGGTCCTTGATGGTGATCGGCCAGTGGCAGCTGTTAGAAAGATCATCAGAGCTGCCCTGTTCATCCTTTCCAAAGCCTGTGGGTCAGTCTCTTTAGATTCTTCTCTGCCTTTCATTTCCAATCTATCGATTTCTGTTTCTTAAACTAGTCAGAGTTGTTTTCTATTGCCAGTAGCTAAAGAACCCCAACCCACGTGTATCCATTCATCCACAATGGTGTCCAATAGATGCTGTGAGCAGGGCTCCGGGGTGGGCACAGTGTGAGGCAGACGAACTGGGGCATAAGAGCTGGACATAGGCAGAAAGGAAGGGGGAGAGCCTCCTAGACCTGGACATCTGCGAGGGGTTGATATCTGACCTTCAAGAGAGCAGCTGGAACGACCACGGATTGAGTGGGGGAAGGACTGAATGACAATGGCATTTGACTCAAACAGTTGTTTCCGATGCTGGCCATTCAGGATTTTGCCAGAGGAACTGGCTGTGGTAGTGGGAGGGGGCTGCTTCCATGGTCCAAATGTTAAGCCAGGGTAGCGGTGAGGCAGTGACAATGCCAGGGGGTTGGGTGGAGGATGGTGGCCATCAGCTCAGAAGAGGCTCTTGGTTTTGGTGGCTTTCTTTTTCTGACCCTGGGGAGTGTCACAGAGAGAATGGGGGAGCTCCAGGTGGGTCACGAGCAGTCAGCAGCTGTAATTCAGTCTGAGGGGATGTGGGGCAGGCCCATGACCGTGACCAGGATGCAGGGCCGCCAGCCCCACGAACAGCTTGGTTGAAAGCAGCACAACGCTGTTCTAGTTGGCTCTGCGCCTCCACCCTGGGGGAGGGATGTGGTAAGTGTGGAGACTGCAGCAGAAAGTGACAGGGATGATTAAAGGGATGGAAAATCAGGCCCATGAAGAAAGGTTAAAGGGATTGTAGCTATTTAGCCTGGAGAACAGGGATGGTATGTAATAGCCGCCTTCAAGTCAGCGTAGGGCTGTTAAATAGACGCGTGCTCGGCAGCTGCACGCGCATCAGCACATCCGGGGAAGATGGCACCCCCGCGCCGGCTGGGTCCCTCCTAGGAGGGAGACACAGGCTCTGAGGTAGGCAGAGGCATAATTAGAAAGGCTCTCTTGTGGTCTCTGAAGGTCCCGCTCCCCTCCCCGTTGCTGTTTGCATGTGTCATTACACTGGCCCACCCGCAGCCAGCCTCTTGATGGCACCAACAGCGGCTTTCCTGCATACTCAGAAGGTAGCTGGCTATAAAGACGACAGGTTATGAAATGCCAGTGCGAAGGGTAGACTGTGCTAGCTTTGGGAGTATTCAGCCTGCTCCCAAACCCCACCCAGACAGATTGCCTGTCTCCCTCCCCTTGCCCCAGGCTTGCCTCTGCTCCTGAATTTGTCACTTCAGCAACTTGTGAGAGGCCTTTTACTTCTTCTCAGGTCAAAGTTTTTTCACTTCATTTTCTTTTCACAGGGAACATGGCCATAGAAGGAAGTAGACTACGATACTTCCACGTTGGAGCTAGGTGAGGAGGCTGGAGGAAGAGGAGAGGGAAGTCTACAACTAAGATCGACTTGGTTTCAGCAAGTGTTACCGTGCACTGGCATAGTCTCCTGAGTAGGCGAGGAGAACCCGGAGGCCATATTACTAACAGGAAGTTCTGTCAGAAAGCAGGGATCTTAGGCCTGTGTCTGCCTTTATCTCTTCTCATGTCAGAGATCATATTTGCCACCAACAGGCTGAGTTTAGGTGACCTAAGGAGCCACCGTAGATGGGGGCTGGGGGCTTGGGGAGAGTTGATGACAAAATTGGCCCAGCCAAGGATTGAGACAAGCTGACCTCCACCCCTGACAAGACTATACTCTGCCCCCTCTTCCCTACCTCTCACTGGACTTTGTATTCATCCCTGTGAGCCCAGGATGTCGGAACAGGGATGCCCACTCAGGAAGCACAGTGGCCCCGAGGCTGTTGGGACGGTGGCCTCAGGCCCAGCAGAAGGGCCCTCTGCTCTCCATCTGCTAGGCCTTTCATTCCAAGGCTAGTGTGAACACTAGACTGCCCCTTAGCTACGTCCGCGCCTTGCACGCTTGGAGCAGTGTGGGCACTTGGTGCACGTGTGAGGCACCGCTGGCATTTTTTCTCAACGTCACTTATAGCACTTTTGGCACTAATGGCACAGATGGAGCCAGGAGGGACTTCTGGGACCTGGGCATTCCTCCTCCCAGGGGAGCTTCTTGAGACAGCCTGGGAGGGAGTGGATGGCCTGGCCCACATTTTACCTTCCTTCGTTGCTGCTTACCTTGCTGGTTGTCCCTCCTCCCTTCCTCCTCCTCCTCTCCCTCCACTTCTTCTTCCTCCTCCTCCTCCTCTTTCTCCTCCTTCTTCTCTTCTCCACTTCCTACTCTATCCCCTTTTTCCTATAAGCAAAGGGGAAGACCTCCTTGGTCTTGCAAAGAAGCCTGTCCCTTTCTGAGCTCCACTCCACTGGAAAATTCAGAACAATTCCTATTATTTTTGGTTCCCAGACCTTGAATGTGTCAGGCTTCAGGTTCACTTCCTCCATCTCTCCCTGGTGCCGGATCTGCAAGTAATTTAACCTTGTTTTCACAGAGCGCAAAGACGTTCCGCTTGTTTACACTGGAGACAAATTTTCCTCAATTGACGCAATCCCATTGATGAAATAATGACTTTCTTCCTCATTTAAAGGTAATTTTGGTGGGTATCATGACATGGAGGGAGGTGAAAGCCTTTTCTGTCCTGCAGCAGGAGGAGCGGGCTTGGGGCGCCAACGCCTACAGTGCTGACTGAGCTGGGCCTGCTCCTTTTCTTCACCTGCTCTGGAGCCCTGGGAGGGGGTTGGCGAAACAAGGCCTGATCCTGATTAGAGGAACTAAAAGGCTGCATTGGTGAGGAGCGTGCAGGAGGGCTGGGGCAGAGTAGATGCTGCTCTGTTTAAAAGTGCATGTGATTGGCTTCCAAGGTTGCTCACATCTAATACGCTAGGACTTGGACATGGTGTTTTTCAAGGTCACACCGCTTGGTGGTTAGGATGTTCTCTGAGCAATGGTTAAGAAGAAAGCAAGGAGCACAGTGAGAACCTGAGGGAGTCACACACACAGGGAAGCTCACCAGGTTGGGGCTCAGAGCCGTTACTGTATCGGGGCCCGGGGCCTCTTCTGTAAAACAGGGACAACCGGATCACATAGTTTCTTAGGCATCGTTTCCCCTCAGTGACCTGGTATTAGGTGAAATCTAAAGACTTCGTTATTATTTGCGTGCAGTCTGGGTCTTTTCAGGGTGTGTTTTGATAGGGATAAGCACAGCGGATGACGTTTGGCAGGATGGACCCTCTTCTTGATGGCTTTTCAGTGAAGTCAGGACAAAGCATTCTGTGTTAGCAACACTGCTGAAGAACCAGATATTTCCGAATGTTCTATGGGGATTGCATTATGTGATGGTTAAAAAAATAATTTTGTACTTGCCGGAGGGATATAACTCAGGAGTAGGACACTTGTCTGCAGAAGGCCCTCAGTTCGACCCAGGAAATTGCCAAAAAAAAATTTTTTTTTTCAGTAAATAAGCAATGAAATAAAAATAAGTTAGAAACCTTTTTGAATTCTGGAGAATTTATCCTCAAGTGCAAATATGAAGTAGGATAAATCTCATGGCTAGGCAGGAGCAAGATATTAATAAGAGGAACTGATAGCTGCACTTTTAGATATCCCTTCATTTTTTCTTTACTGTGGCTTGGTAAACATTCTCTGCAAAGAACCACAGGGTAAGTATTTTAGGTTTTTTGGTCTTGGGGACAAGCATTCGGCTTTTCTGTTATGGTGGAGAAGCAGCTATAGGTAACGTGTAAACTAAGGCTGTGTGGCTTTGTGCCAATGAACCTTAATGTGTGACTCTGAAATTCGAATTGCATGTGCCACAAAATACCTTGATTTTCCCCAATAGTTTAAAGTACAAGAACCATTCTCAGTTCATAGGTAGGAGCCAGATTTGGCCCCTGGACCATAGCCTGTCTTCGCCTACAACCTTTAAAGGAGGGCTACTGAACACACGAAAAGACTGAGGTTTCCGGAAGCCAATTCCTTGTCCGTGTTAGCAGTTAGTGGTGCTAGAGCTGGAGTATAATCTAAGAGGCCAGCTCTTGACCTTCTGCTTCTCAGGGCTATCCCGTTAGGGTGGAACCTGGGTAACGCTGCTCCTTCTGACTTCGATGAATACTTATTGAATCTTCTTTTTAATCATATTTATTTTTCCTAAACCAGAAGTTCAGTTTCAAACCTGAACACGAGATCAGTCTCTCACCAGGCAAGGAGATCCCTGGTTGGCCTAAGAGTTCCATGGGACAGTGGATCTGAAGGGGCCTAGGTAGGAAAAAGGGGCAGAGGGAGGAAAAAAAGCGCTTGTTCTTTGAGTTTCTGGACCCGGGCAGAGGCTTGGGAGTCAGCTCGCTCCTCCTTAGGGTGGAGCCTGTTGGAGCTGAGCATGTGTGCGTGGTGGCCCTTCCATTGCTTTGTACTTCTGCGCTCGAAGAATGATGCCTTTTTTTTTTTTTTTTTTTTTTTGGTGATACTGGGGATTGAACTCAGAACCTTGTGCTTGCCAGGCAGGCGCTATGTTGCTGAGCCATCTCCCCAGTCCCTAATTTAGCTTTTTTTTTGATTGAAGAATGATGCAGCTTGGAAAGTTCTCCAGTGCTTCCTGGAAATCTTTTTAATATGTCAGTGATGGACACGCTTCATCTCCAGAGAGAGACTGTCACCTCCAGGGGGTGGCCTGTCCCTCTCCTTTTGTGAGGTCCATTGGCTAGAGTCTGGGCACACAGGGAAGAAGGACACCTTCTATTTTTTTTTTTCGGAACTGGGGATTGAACTCAGACCCATGCACTTGCCAGGGAAGCGCTTATTCTACTGAGCCATCTCCCCAGCCCACAGGACACCTTCTAAATCAAACAGGGTGCTTTAGGATATCATGGGCTGCTTGCTTTGGGGGTACATAGGGGCTGGGGTGCGGAGGATGTAGAAAGTGGGAGGCAAGGGCAGGAGAGGGCTTGAAGCTCCCACCCACAGAAGACATTTGCTGACCACCTAAGGCGCATTGGCTGAAAGCCAGGAGTCCCCACACTGACTTTTCTTCTGACTCTCATGACTGGCTTCTGAGAGAGGCACTGTGGTCCCATTGGCTGGATGAACACACCAAGGCTCAGCATAATGCATCAGTTTTGAAGGGATACAACTAGGGGGTAGAGAGTCAGCCCAGGTAGCTCTCTGCTTCCCATCACGGGACTATACAAAGGAATAGTCTGGAGCTGGGTCAGACCCTCACTAGCTGTGTGGCCTGAACAAGTTACTCAGCGTCTCTGAGTCTCAGTTTCTTCACCTGTATAAAGGCTCACTTACCTTCAACCTTGCCATGAAGCGAGTGTCCCTGGGGATGCCTGAAACAGTGGTGCCAGGCATGGAGATGTTTCTATGTACAGTTGCTTTCTGCTTTCTGCTTCAAGATGATTTGGTTTTGTACGGTTGACTGAATAATCAATCTTACTCAGGTTGAAGTCCACAGGGCCTAGCAGAGAGCCAGGCCTGGAGCAGACACTCAATAAATATTTATGCAGAGGATGGATACACAGTGCTTATACGCCGGTGCCAGCCATCTGGATGTGAGGCTCGTGCAAGCGGTGGATTCTTGACTTTTCATCCGAGTGTTGGATGTCATCCTAGAACACAGGCAGAACAAGTGATCTGAAGCGACAGGAGCCCCGTCAGGGCTCCCTGATGCAGGGTGGGGTGCAAATCTGTTCAAGTCTGTAGGTGATTTGTCATTTTCAAACCACTACAGCTACGTCGCCGGGTTTATTTACTGTGTGTCCCTCCATCCACCCAATCATTCAACAGTGGACCACAGGGGCTCTTTGAGCTGCCTGTAATGAACGGCCAAGAAAGACCTTCTGTAGCATGGCCATTATTTGCAAGTAAATATAAGCCTTTTTTTTTTTTTTTGTGGTACCAGGGATTGAACTGAGGACCCTGAGCTTGCCAGGCAAGTGCTTATTCTTCTGAGCTATCTCCCCGGCTCAAATAGAAGCTTTTACTCTGCTAAGCACCACTTTTTCCAATCCCCACTCAGTCTGCCATTGCAGTTCAGTGCCTTTCTTCTCATTTACTGGCTGCTTCTAATATTCCATGGGCAAAAAGCAAAGCAAACAAGCGAACAAAAACCAACTCTAGGGGCCAGGGAGATGGCTCAGTGGAATAAGCGCTTCCCTGGCAAGCGCAAGGGCCTGAGTTCAATCCCCGGTTCCGAAAACAAAACAAAACAAAAAAAACAAAACAACTCTAAATGTAAGCTTGAAGCATTTGTGAAGCATGGATTAATGAGGCAGCAGGTCCCTCCTGTGAGCCCTGAACTCGGGCACCTGAACTGGATATAGTGACGCTGGCTGCCCGGGGCCTTTTCCTCCGCCCTATTCTTCACTGGCCATTGGACAGCTGATCTTGGGACTCCGAGACATTATGATGTGGTGTATCCTCGTGTATCCTCGTGGCATCCTTCTGAGGAAGGGATGTGGCTTCTTTTCTTAGAGAAGAAGGCCAAGGGGGAGCCAGAGAAGGGTGAGCCACGGCTGTCTTTATGCCTGGCCTTCAGGGTTAGGCTAAGTGAAAAAGCATGTGGTGTGTTTATTTGCGAACAGCCACACGGCCTACCCACTTATTACAGTTTTGAAGTTGATTTTCTTATGGTATACTTTGATCAGTGCAGCTTGTCTCTTGACCCCTTTCTGGAAAATTCTGGTGTCAGAGAAGGAGCACTCAATTATGCCTCAGAAGTCGGGAGTCCTGACCAGACCTTGCTCTGGGAGGTCCTTTAACCTCTCTGAACCATGATTGCAAAATGTAGGGCTTTAGTTAAACCTGCCATCAGCTAGAGTTCCTCCATGAGCACCCCATGTGGCTTTGATTTTTCTGTGAGCTCTTCAGAGTTGACCATCTTCATGATTGGAGGCGAGAGATAGGAAAGGGTGGCTCTCTCCTGGGGGAATGGCTGGATGGCCAGCTGTCACCAGAGTAGGCGGTGGGTGTTAGCACAGGTTTTCAGTGTCACAGCCACAAGCTGGCTTGTGCTAGTGACCTCTGCCCTCCCTTGGCACATCATGCCCAGGGTCTGGGAGGACCTGGGTGTGGTGAGATGGCCCAGTGTCATTCCTCAGGATGCCCCTTTGCCTGCCCTTTCTTGCCTCAGCTTCCCCTGACCTGTCTCTGCCAGGTTGGAGCATGGGCAGGCTGTCCCTTTCCAGAGCCTGTTCTGACCAAGGCAGGAAATAGAGCAGAGCCTCAGCCTTCCCCTGGAGGGAGGAGGGGGCTGGAGTTGGGTCTTACTTTTTCAACTGAAGCAATTGTGCCTCGGTTAAACCTCAGAGGTGATGGTGGTGCAACACTCAAAGCTGATATTAAGTCCTGTCCCTTAGATGTGGGCTCCAGAGCCACACAGGCCTGACTCGCAGACTCCTGAGTGCTTTCCCAGCTCCCTGGTCCTCTTTGCTGCACTTGTAGTGAGGATTGAGTGCGTCAGAGGCTGCCTGGCTCCCAGAATTTCCTATTCATGCCCATCCCCTAGTGGCATTGGCAGTGAGTCCCAAATCCGTTATCTGACCATGGAATAATAATCCATTATTCCAGACCTTGCTCCTTTGTCCTGAGGCTGGGCGGGAGGCTGGGGGTCTCTGGGATGGTACAGCCTTGCCCTGGCCTGCTGGAGGCCCTGCTAAGGATGGACCAGGCCCTGGGCCTGTTGGTATGTCCTCTTGTCTCTGGGGCTAAACTCTTGGAGGTCACCTGCAGGAAGCAGGCCCGAACCAGCCTAAGAGCCCTCACTGGAGTGATCTCTGAGGCTGGAGTGAACAATCAGCTCAGAGCTTGAACACACGCTTTCCGGGCCTCTTTTAAGCCCCCTTGTAAAGAGCGAGCAGGCAAATACACATCTTGTGAGGGAATCTCCAACCTTGTGTCAGATGGGTCCCGAGACGTGATGGGGATCTACAGGGGCCAGGTCTCCCTGAAATCCTCTCTGGAAGAATTGGTTGACCTGACCCTGTAACTGACACCTGAACCCTAAGTAAGGCCTCATCTCTGAAAGGCAATATGAGAAGGTTTGTAGTGACAGGGGCTTTTGGTATCTGGGCAGCAGAACTGACAACAGGGTGCAGGGCGATTGTCAGGGTGTCTGATCGTAGACAGCAGATGCTGCCTCAGACAGCCCAGCTGTGGGAAGACACCAGGCCCAGGCTCAGCTTCAGGGCCTGGAGGCGTAAGGCCCAGCCCTGCTGGCTGCATGGTGTCCTTCCACATCAGAGTTTGCTGTGCGACAAAGGAGGCCCAGGTTGAGCAGGTCCCTGTGCAACATGACAGGAACCAGGGAGGGAGACTCTGAGGCCATCCAGATCCCTCGCCCCAACGGATCCAAGCAGCAGTCTGCTGCCAGAGACAACTGCCTACATCCACCCCTGCGGGTGCTTGGCCTCATGGGGCGCAGACTTGGAGACTCCTCACCCGGATCTTCTGTCAGTCCAGGCAGTGTCAGGAAAAGGCTCAGAGGAGAGGAAACTTCCAGAATCTTCTGGAACAATTCACAGGGGAGCCAAGAGGGAAAACCTCAAGGTCTTAAGGAAGAGTTGGAGAGTGGGGGTTGTACAGGGGAGGGGGTGAGATCTCAGAGTTGCTAAAAATCTTTCCCTTGTCTCCACCAGTGCCAGTCTGCTGATGGGGCAGCAGCGCCCCCTGGCGGTCCCCACGCCTGGGACTTCCACCACTCCCCCACCTAAGGGCTTTCCAGATTTTCCTTCCAAGATACCATTATTTTTTTCCTCTAGGCCAGGGACCTCGTCACTTGTGGACTCCACCTCCCATGTCTGCAGTACTTTCATTCTACCCTTTTCCTTCATCTATCCCTTTCCTCCTTCTGGAGAAACTCAGCTTTTGTCTTTGGAACTTCTCTGGAGAAAATCATTCCATATAGAAGAGATTAACTTCCAATAAGGTGTTGACAGCTGATAAAGCATAACCAGGTAGCACCGTCCAGGGCTTCACCTGGCCGTAGCAAGAGACCTCTCCATGTTTTGTTTCTCAGATTTCCTTCTGTCCACTGCAAGCCTTTGCAGCCAGCATGCGCTGAAAGCTTATGCTGAGCCAATGCCTGTGGCTGGGGACACACTTCCGGTTTCATTTTGGGTCTCCACCTGCCTTGCTCCCACTTCTCCAGAACTACATTAGTCACAACAACACAGCTCTCTTCTGCTCCTAGGCACGAGGTCCTCAAGGCTGGCCGTTTCATTCCATGAGGAGGATGAGAAGCTGCTGGCCGAGCGGAGTTCTGCACCTTGGGCTTTCACCACTCCTGTGTCCTCCTGGGCCTCTGCGCTGCCATGGCTTCTTGCCCCTTGCAGTCCAGCTGCGCGTAGGCAGGAAGCAGCACCCATGCGTGGGTAGGAGCCCCTCATCATCCTAAGTGGACCCAAGGAGAAGCTAAGGCAAGAGGTAGAAGTCAAATACTCTCCATTTTCCAGAAAGGAAAAAAATCAAAGTAACAATGAAGCTTATTCTAGAACAGAAAGTGTTTGGCCTGAGCTGCGGCCTAGATACAGGTAAACATTCGCTTCCTGCCCGAGCTTAATTTCCTTCCTCTGTGGGAGCTGTAATCCCCGAAAGGCCTTTCCTGCTTTGCAGGCTAGGATGCAGTTTTGAACTGCATCCTGCTGTCTAACTCCAGCTGCCGCTCGCCCACCTGCCTGCTCGCCTGCTCGCCCGCCTGCCTACCTGGGTAGGAGGCTCTTGTTTCTGCTAGTGATATTTTTCTAGTGCTTATTATTTTAAAGTCTTGTATCTGTGGTGCCCCCTTTCATTTGGAAAATTAATTGCTTACAGATGTCTTGTGTATGTCAGCCTTCTTCCGGCCACGAGACCATTGGGGCTTGCTACCACTTCAAAAGGAAGAGGAGGGAAGAGAAGCTGCCTGTAGGTGACAACATTTCTTGCCCTTCAATACAGTGGCCAAATGCTGTTCACATTTAGAAACCGAAGGGTGGAGAATGCTCTGAGGTCTAAGAGCCCAAGTGTTAGAAAGCCTTCGCTGAAAAGGTCACCTGTGGTCGTTCATGGGATGCTTGCACAGTGTGGGCGCTGGCTGCCCTGCTGGGACCAGCTGATGACACTTAGCTCTCCACGGCATGTGCCCGAGTCCCGTGGTCAGCTGTGGTCATTCGGTGCAGCCATCTCCCTGGGGACCCAGGGTGGTGCTGTGAGTTTAGGTAAGCGGTGTCCCACCCTAGACTGGAACCCGCCATATCACCATCCCAACCCGCCCTGACTCTGCTGGGTTTCTGTCCTTCCTAGGAACTTGCACACATCTTCCTTGTGGCTTCCATTCCCAGGAATCACCTGAGGTCTTCCTTGCTCCAAACAGAAAGCCATCCCAGGGCACCACCACGCTCTCATGGAGCTCTTTGCTGGTTGTGTATTCCCTGCTTACCCCACTCACCTTCTTGGCTGCTCCCAAGGCCACACTGAGCTGAATAGTCATGGTTTGCTTTTGTGTGGGTGCTTGTGGTGTATGCTCTTGTAAGTGTGTGTGTGTGTGTGTGTGTGTGTGTGTGTGTAGTGTGCACATGTGCTAGCATTTGTGAAGTGAGGACCCACCATGGAGAAGCGTCTTGCTCACCTTGTGCTTCCTTGTGCTCCAAATCTTTCTTACCTGGATCTGGGATGACTTCTTCTTGGCACCTTTCCACTTCCTTCCTTCAGTGGAATGATTTCTCTGATGGCCATTTATTTCCACATGCAGGCAGATTCCTGTGGCTTTTGCCCTACAGGAAAGAAGAAGGAGAAATGGACAGCTGAGTGGAGAGAACTCAGATGTTTGCTGAGTCCAGGGGCTGTACACACAAGAGGGCAGAGGCCCAAGTTCTACAGTCAGTTGAACAGAAAACTCCTCCAGCTCTGTATCAGAAGTTTTGAACATTGGCCAAATTATATTTTGTGGGCCAGGGAGATGGCTCAGTAGAATAAATGTGTGCCTGGCAAGCACAAGAGCCTGAGTTCAATCCCTGGCTCTATAAAAAAACAAACAAACAAATTATATTTTGTATTTTTTGCAATGTTTTATTTATCAAAGAGAAACTCAAAAAGGGCGGGGGGAGCATGCTCTGTACCATTCTAGGCTGCTGGATCTGGCTCTAGAAGGTGAAGATTTAGAAGATGAAACTCAGGCAAGCTATAATTTTTAATAAAAAGGAAGGCAATCACAGACAAAAAGTCAGTCTACTTGTTCAAAATCCTGCAAATGAATAGAAGAGGAAGAAATTGAGAGGAAGGCAATTTTCACTGTAGGAATAGTATTTTCCCTTGGAACAACTGTTCTAAAAAGTACATAAGAACAGCAATTCAAGGAGAAAGTATTGGTAGGTTGTACTTCCAAATCTTTAAAAAACATTTATTTATTTTTTTGGGGGTACCAGGGATCAAACTCAGGACCTTGCACTTGCCAGGCAGGTGCTTATGCCACTGAGCTATCTCCCCAGCAGGGGCTGGGGAAATGGCTCAGTAGAATACATGCTTCCCTGGCAAGCGCAAGGGCCTGAGTTCAATTCCCGGTTCCGAAAAAAAAAAAAAAAATTACAATAAGAATTGCAATTAATTCATTTTTAAAGAAGCAGTATGAGTATATCTACCTTTTTTTTTTTGTGGAACCAGGGATTGAACTCAGATCCTTGCACTTGCCAGGGAAGTGCGTATTCTACTGAGCCATCTCCCTGGCCCTGCATATCTACCATTTTTTTAAAAATTAATTTTATTGAGAGACAAATGGCAATGAGACAGTTTCAAAACCAATTTATAGGACAGTTTCAGTAATTAACAACATTACATATTGTTGCCTTCGTACTGGTCATATCTACCACTTGAAGGAGCTGTGTTTAACACTAAGGGGCAGGCAAGAAAAGGAGAAAGAAGGAGAGAGAGGACAAATACCAGTAACGGAAAACAAGGTCATGTGAATTAAAGCTCCTTCTAGCATCTGGATAAACACGGCGAGGACTTTGTTAAAGGCAGTGCTTTGGCCTTCTAGGATTCACATGTTAGCAAATGGGAGAACTAGTCTTTATTTATCACACCAAAGATTTCCTTTTAGGACAAGTGCAAAATAATTGACAGTTACCTTGTCAGCGACCATGCAGAAAGGACCTTTTCTTATGGGGCCTCCTGCAGATTTTGCAGGGCTCCTTTGCTCAGAAACCATCTTAGCCTCAAAGGGATGAACCGGCCAGACAAAGCCTAGCTTTCAGGGCGGGACTAAAGTGTTTGGAAGGTGCACAGCTTGGAATAGGTCCCATGGTTTACACAAACATGTGACCTCTCTTTGTTTTGGCCACCGTCTGTTTTCTAGCTTATTTGTCCTTGGTCCACATGATGCCAAACAACTGGCTTGGCTGGCTTGTGTTTCACTAAATGGATGAGACAGACCTGTTTGTGTCCTGTGGAAACAGCTCACAGCCTCAGGCACATGGCTCCCTTTATGAAGCGAGGTGGAGTCTCACTGTGTGCTTGAGGTGTTTTGTATTGCAGACATGTAGGGAGATGTTCTCAGTGGCTTCAGAGGGGGTCTACAAGAAGCAAGCAGCTCAACCAAGACAAATCTAGATACGGGTCCCAGAGGCTTGTGACGCTGAGACACAGGATCTGGTTGCCAGGGGCTGTTAGGGGTGCTGGTGGGATCCAGGCCTGCTCAGGGTCACAGGCAGCTGCTGCACAGAGCAGGCGGTGCACAGCTGGCACTCCGCGCTGTTTCAGATGCCAGCCAACGGGGGCCACGCGGACATCTGTGGACCACATCAGACATGCGGTCCCCGTTCACTCAGGCCTCCACACGTTCGAATGTGGCATTTTGCTTGCATGGCACATGTGTAGGCTGCCTGGCTGATGTTGAGTCCAGCCGCTGACAGTTGCTTGATGCTCGCTTTTAGAGTTGCTGTAATTCTAGGGCAAGCTGGTCTAGTACCCTTGCTGGTTATATTTATTTTATTATACAGGCTTAGAATGCTTTCGCATAATTTCTCCTTTCCCTCAGAAAGTTGGTTTGGAAAATTATCTGTGATGAATTGTATGTCCTCAGCATGAATAAAAAAGTGTAATATTTTTATTTTTTTTAGCGTGTGTGTGTGTGTGTGTGTGTGTGTGTGTGTGTGTGTGTGTGGCCAGCTTAGCCCACTAGGGGGCGCGCTGGCTGGCATGTGGTGCTGGGGGATTGAACCGCGGTCCCTGTGCTTTGCTAAGCTTGTTCTAAGTAGGTGCTTTAGACCACTGAGCCATCTCACCAGCCCAATATTTTTATTAGTGTAAAGAATTAGCTCCTAAACATGGAACCAAATATTAAAGAAGTGCCAAAGCAAGTAGCGCGGGAGGGCTTCCTGAGTACCACATCCTTGTTTATGTGACCTCAACAGTGCTGGGAGGTAAGTAGTATCATTCTCATTGTACAGGTGAGAAGACTGAGGTTTAGAAGAGATACATGACCTGTCTTCAGAGGCGGAACTGGAATTCCGTCCAGCACGGGGGCGTCACTGTTTCAGTTCCTAACCCTTCTGCTGTTCTGCTTCTAAATAGTAAATCAGCTGCAATGCTACCCAAATGTGGGCTTGAAGAGCCGACAGATCCCCAGCCTGTCCAGCGTCCAGCCTGTCTGTGCAAGTTGCCTGGTCTGGCTCCCTCAGGCAAAAATGCCAGAGCAGAGTCTCGGAGCGGTGACCCCATCTTGAATGACACCGAAGAAAGAATATTCTTTAGGCGAAGTAGACAGGGCTGGGGGGCTCAGGCGCAGGCTATCTGGAGCTTTCAGGGGATTCCTTAGCCGGGGGTGCAGGGTATCTTGAAGAATGCTGTTAGGGCAAGGAAGGATGAGGGTCAGGAAGGAGCTCATCGGGAGGTGCCCTTCTTGTGGTGGGGACAAGGGCGGGGGCAGGAGGGCGTTGGAGGGTACTGGGAGGCTGCTGCTGCGCAGGGAGGGCGCTCAGGAAGAGCTTCAGCGATGCCTCCCGTCGGTGTGGCCTGCAGCCCCACACAGCACCACCCAGGCTCAAGCGCAGTCTGGTCTTCTCTGACCCCAGCGGCGGGTCCTGGAGATGAGCGGTGGCTGTGTTGCCGGTGAGGAAGGGTCGGGCTGTGTAGGCCCCCCGCTCAGGGAAGCACACTGCTTCAGAACGTGGAGTGGGGAGTGTGAAAGTGAGCTTGGGAAGGCGCCCACCTCAGATAGCACAAATGCTACACGGGGACCCCGAGCAGGTGCTTCCCCAAAGTGCCCAGAATCCATTTCCTGCTTCTCGCCAACTTCCAGTTCTTGGTGCTGAAGTGATAAGAATCAGTGTGAGGTTTGTAGCATTGTGCCCCAGCGTCTGAGAAGTACTTGTAGCGGCTCTTGGAGGTGTCAGTGCAGGTCTGGATGTAACAAGCCCAGGCCACAGCCCCCGGCCCCGCCAGCAGGCAGCCGCAAGACCACAGGTGCTAGGATCCCAGCACTCTGTTGCAATTTATAAATAAAGGATGCTTCATTTTTATAAAAATGTTAAATGCCATCAAACTAAATTTTCAGAAAATTAAATTCAAATAGCACTGTTATTTAAAGTTTTATATTTTTAAACTGTCAATATATTTGTCTTTCAATTTTCATGGATAAATTTTAACATTAAAAATAGTATTAAAATAAATTTAATACTGGTAATATTGGTGCATCCGTATAATTCCAATACTTTGGAAGGATGAGATGGAGAATCACCACTCTGACCTAGTTGGGGCAATTCAGTGGCTCAGTAAAACAATGTATGAAAATAAAACATAATAAAGGCCTAGGCATGCAACTTTGTAAAGAGCTTAAGTTCAATTCCCAGCGTCGAAAAAAAAAAAAAGTGATGAAATATATTAAATTTTTTGTTGTTATTTTAGGGAAGGGTCTACAG